CATGTGTGCATAGGCACACACAATTTTTTTTTAAGGTATGCACATTTATCAAGATAAATAATATCAAAATAATAAAACTTTACAATCAGTGAAATGTTGACTTGGGAGAATTATGACTAATAGTTAAATCAGATATAATGATTTGATAACTAAAGAGAAAACTGGGTAACTAGCATTTAAAATGAACTTGGCCGGAGCATTTGGTGCTCTTGCAGAAGAGCACGGTTCGGTTTCCAGCACCCACATGATAGCCCACAGGCCTGTGTAGTTCCAGTTCCAAGGGATCCAATTCTGACCTCTGCGGAACTGGACACATATGTGGGACCCATATATGTGGTGATATTTATGATTTATTAAAGCTTACCTGAGGATATAGAAGCAAAGCTAGCCACAAGCCACAGAGCCAGGCAAAGGTGATACACACCTTTAATCCCAGGACTCAAGAGACAAGCAGATGGACCTCTGTTAGTACAAGGCCACTCTGAGCTACATGAAATTAATCCAGTCCTAAAGAGAAACAGCTCTCACAAAGGTGATCTCAGCACTTGGGATCACGTGCCTTTAATCCCAGGAGCTGAGAGCTATAAAAAGAAGAGGCAATAGCCTGGAATTTCAATCTGAGGTTTGGTGGAGACAGGATTATAGTCTAGGTTTGGTGGAGATAAATGCTCAGGTAATACTCATACACATAGAAAAATAAATCCATAGCAAGTATAAATAAAGAAATTGGTTTGGGTTTTTTGAGGCAGAGTCTGTAAACAGCCTTGACTGTTCTGGAATTCACTAAGTAGACCAGGCTGGCCTCTGAGCCCCACAAGCCTTTGCTTCCCAAGTGCTGGAATTAAAGGTGTGTTCACCATGCCTGTCTCGGAAGAATTACAAATTTACAAACAAAATGCACACACACATACACCTACCTCTCTGTATGGCCTGCACACTTATAAGCTATCTTATAAAGCTACCTCTTCTCTAAAAAGCCTTTAATCTTTCAGTTAGTACATTACATTTTTCCTTGTCTAGCATTTATGCTATATAATATCCAAAATCCTTCTAGATTACCAGCTCAAAGGTGGGAATCACATAATGTCCTACCACTAAATCCCAAGCATACAGTAGGCACTCAAATATTTGCGGGGGGGGGGGGGGGGGACGACAAATCACATTGCTGAATTTCAAAAACAAATCTGTATATAATTTTACTAAGAATACTCAAAATAAAATCTAAATTCTGGTCAGAATGCTTTTATTTCACATTATAATAAAACATTTTGGTTAAGAAGTGACTATGCGAAAAAAATGTATGTTCTATCCATTCAGTTAGAAAGTTCTGTGTCCCTACCCCAAATGTTTGAAAACCAATACAATACACAGCACCTAAGCTAGACATACCAAGTGATTTTTTTTTCTTTTGACATACTAGTGTTACTACAATGCACTGTGTAAGAACTCAAAAACCAACCCAATTGTTGGTTTACCCAATAAACTTATTTATCTCATTATAGATCCATTCCTGACAGCAGGTACCAAAGGTAATTTTCCTCATGATGCCATTTAAGCACTGGAAATATTTCCAACTTAGAAAGTTTTCCAAAGGACATGACATACGGGAGGAACAAGCACATCCTGAAATGAACAGTGAACACAAAATGTTTCCTTCTTCCTAATCCTGCTCCTAGGTTAGGTCAAGGAGCAAACTGATAAATGGCCCCTAATTCTTAATCATTGAGCAGGGAGAAGGAATAAATAAATAGCTGTGAGACAGTGTCTTTATTTTTTTAATTAATTTACGTGCGTGTGTGCATGCTTTCAAGTATATGACAACTTCAAATGAGAACCTAGTTTTTATCTAATCCAATAACTAATCTAATCCAAAAACAAAGGTAGTGTTTTCTTCTCATCCACATAATGTGATAATGAAATCTCCACCTTCAGAACACTTTAACAACTTAGGACCACCAAGACTGCTTAGCAGGTAATAGCACTTGCCACCAAAGCCTGACAACCAGTATTCAATACCTGGGGCCCACATGGTAGAAAGAACAGACTCCTACAAGTTGTCCTCTGATTTCCTTATATGCACCATAGTACATGCTTGCTGGCACACATTCAACATACACAAACAAAAATAAATATTTAAAAGGTATAGATTAAAATATATTCTATTGATTTCTAGTCCAGGAATAGTACTGATGTGGACAAAGAGGCATAGCTCAGTTGTAAGTATCTGCCTAATACGAGTGAAGAAGCCCTGACCTCAATCCTTAGTACCACACATACACATACAAAACACACAAAGTAGCCTAGACACAAGACAGTATACATAATGTACTCTATCAAGTAAGTTCACTCTGAGAGAGAGAGAGAGAGAGAGAGAGAGAGAGAGAGAGTGTGTGTGTGTGTGTGTGTGTGTGTGTGTGTGTGTGTACACAAAAGTACAGGTACCCCAAAGGCTTGGGGTGTTAGAATGAATCCCTTGTCCCTGAAGTTGCAGGAGGTTGTGAGCCATCTCTAGCCCCTAAGTATATGTCATCATACTTATTAATGTGGAAGACAGACAGCATAGGCTTGAGAAGCAGATCTGCACCTCTCCTTCAACTCTACAACTTACTAACCATTAATACTGAGCTTGCTTGCTTTCTTTCTTTCTTTCTTTCTTTCTTTCTTTCTTTCTTTCTTTCTTTCTTTCTTTCTTTCTTTCTTTTTCTTTTTTGGAGCCAGGGTTTCTCTGTGTAGTCTTGGCTGTTTTGGAACTCACTCTGTAGAACAGGCTGGCTTCAAACTCAAGAGATCCACCTGCCTCTGCCTCCCAAGTAGGCATGTGGCATCACTGCCTGGCAAAACTGTTTTGTTTTGTTTTGTTTTTTTTTTTGTGTGTGTGTGTGTGTGTGTGTGTGTGTGTGTGTCTAAATTTAAAAAAGGGACAAAACACCAACTATACAAGTCTACCTTTAAAAAAAAACAAATATATACACAATGCTCACATGTATTATATATAGAGATTTCTAATGCTGGATACTGTTGACAAACAATGTTAAGACCCCACCACCATCCCAACCTTGAACTATTAAGAAGGTGGATCCTAGTATCTGGCATGGCTCCATCAAAATGGGCTCTGGAACCAAGCTTGGTAGACAATATTAAAATATCAGCATCAGGAGGCTGGGACAGGGGGATGGTGAATTTAAGGCTAGCTGGAGCTATACCACAAAATCCAATCCCAAAAACTAAGGTTTAGACTGTAGCTCAGGTTAAAACATCTGCCTAGCATGTGCACTTCAATCACAGATCTGGAGAGGGAAAAAAAGAAAAGAAAAAGACCCCTCCTCCAAAAAAACAAAAACAAAAAAACAAAAACAAACCACCCAAAAATCCTTTAGGAGCACACCCCATAGACTGAAAAAGAAGTATTGCCTAATTCTAAAACTTTTATCTTAAAAACAGTGAAGATAGAATCTTTGTAAGGTTCTCATTGCAGACCAAAGTTTCTGAGCAGGAAAGTCAGTTACTCAATTCCTAGCTGGGATTGTAAAAGTCTCCCTCCCAATTTCTTTGAGACAGAGTTGTTCTCTGTAGTTCACAATGGCCTGGAATTTTGATGATCCTCCTGCTTGAGCTCCCAGACTGCTGGAATCACAGACATCCCTTCCTCTTGAGATAAAAAAAAAAAAAAAAAAAAAAAAAAAGACAGGGCTAAGGAAGACCAGTATGAAGAGGAATAAAGATAAGCAGACAATGGAGTCCAAAAGAGTAATCATGTAGTAAGTCCACTGAAGAAGGGTGGCTCATGAACTATTTAGGGAAAAGTTCATAAGAGGAAAAGAAAATCAAAAGCAATTAATCGTTTGAATCCTAGGCATAAAGTGTAAAGAAAGTAGAGACCCATGCTATGATGTTACAACATCTTCAAACTGCAGTATGCTGCACACCCAGGCCCTGATATGCTGCAAGTAAGTCTTGTTCTGGGGAATGGCCTGTTTTGCTAGGAAAGAAATGGCTATCAACTCTTTAATTATGACAATGAGAACAGAAATTAACTGCCTAGGAATCATGAACATATTAATACAACAGGGAAAAGAAAAGTTCAGGAAGTTAAGGAGTTGAAAAAAAATAGCCAGGAGCTTCTCAAAAAAAAAAAAAAAAAAAAAGTTAAAATAAATGATCCACAGGGTTCTTTGATACAGAGAACATGGACCTATCTCTTTTGTCCCTTTCATTGTTTACTTTAGTACTGAGCAAGAATCTGAAAGTGTAAAGAAATTGTTAAGGAAAAGAAACTATATTCATATGGAATTTTCAGTCTATTAGGGACTATGAACACATGCTTCTCCCTTAGGTCATGTCTCCTTCTAAGTAGCAACTCAAGAATACCAAATGGCATAACAGAGATATACCTACCAACTGTCAGGGATGACTCAAATCCATCTTTAATGAGACAGCTGAGACTCTATTTCTTCATGTAACTTTGCACTTCTACAGTGTAAAGTGTACTATTTCTTACACTGGGAAAAAGGGCAGGAAAGAACAATAGGCAAATTAATGAATTATATATGGTTTCATTTTTAAATTAGTCACTTGTTTCAAATGAAACATTCTACTTTGATTGAGGCCATTAGTACCTGATACCAAAAGAACTTTAAATGTTCATAATTACTAGGGCCCAGTCACTTGTATGGATATGATAACCACTTATAACTAAAAATAATGTATCATTAAATTAACACATTAGGTTCCTTACAAGAAAATATAAGAATTCTAATTCATTAATATGCTATTGTTCTGCCCAACTGTAGGCTATGGATGCCTAATAAAGTCAAATAAATCCAAAGCTACAAATTACAAATATATCACTTATAAAGGAAATAAAAAAAATTATGAGAAACTATAACTTCTAAATTTCTTGAATATGTATCTTTTATGCCATTTTAATATTAATGTTAAAATGAACATCAATCTGTTAGTAGAAATTGGGAAAGAGGAAAATAAAGGACTATTGGACATACCCTATGTAATATTTCTAAAACCTTTAATGCAGTATGAAGAAAACTGTTGAAAATTCTTCTTTCAGAAGGGGGAATGCCGATCTTGTAGAGTTTCAAAAGATGTACCACAACTTCCTTAAAAAGTTCTACTATCTTGAGGAATAGTGGAGGTTCAAGTACTGACCACCAGTTTTCTGTTATTAAAGGGTGAACATGCAAATAAAATGAATAAAAAAATCAGAATTTAAAAAAACATACTAGCTTTTCTTCTAGAGCAGTGGTTCTTAATCCTCTGAACATTTCAGGACGATGATTATAACAATTTATATAACATCTCTAGGGCTTATAGGTAACTTTCCCCACTACCATGATAATGTTCTTAAAGTCTCTCAAAATTAAAAATAAAGTATGAAAGGCCTACTGAATTCACATTCTTGGTATCCTAAACTATACTTAAATTCATAAACTATAGTTAAAAATCACCACCATAGCCAATATTAAAATGTTATAGAAATCAGAATTACTTTTAAACAAAATACACATTAAAATAGTACTGTTCAAGTATTTTAAAAATCCAGGTTTTATTATTCAACTTAATATATAAAACTGAAATATCGTGAAGTAATACCTTTATAAACCCAAGGAACTCTGGGAAATAAAGAGGAACTTAATGCAAATTTGTAGCCTTATTCCTATTATTGTTTATAGTTTGTAACTATAAACACTACAATCATATGGTATGAAGCAAGAAGAATGTAAATGGGGAAGCAGTACTCAGCTTTACTTTTCCATACTGTCTCACTCCTTCAGATCCCAGCATTCTATTCCTCACTTACTGCTTTTTCTACTCATCTTCAGCCTCAAAGTTCTTACAGTTGTTTTATTACTTCAATATATTTCAGTTCCACATACCTAGCAAACTCTTAGTAAACAAAACACTGGATTATCCATAGCAAGCCAAGTATAAAGGCCAGGAGTTAGAGACGAATCCACACCATTAGAAGAATTAAAGTGAGCAAAGTTAAAACAAAGCCCAGAGAAAAATAGAGAACAAATCATGAACTCAGGAATCTTGTGCATAAGCAGAGATACAAAATTAAACAAAAAGAAATTAGCAAGGGAAGTAACTAAGAGGAAAAAGGCTAATACTGGGACTCAAGGATGATTTAAAATGAATGTTGTTCAGTTTCAATGGCTCTTCCAGTTCTTTACCAGCAAGATCACTCAAGGCGATGGGAGAGAAAAATAGGGATTTTTAATTGTTCTTGATACTACAACTCTGTGTTATAGTGGATTAAAATTTCATATTTAACATGATTTACTTTCAGCAACTCTAACAATTAGAATCAAATACCCAGGGGGAAAAAAAGCCAATAAAAGAGCAAACAAAAGAACTCAGTAACATTTTCATTTGAGAAGAAAACATTTCAGAATAAAAAATACTAAAGTTCTTACCGAGCACTTTCAGTGGTGCTTTTTCTAGGTTCACAAGAGCTGTACCAAAAGGAATTGCTATTGTGGTGAAATTGTTGGAGTCACTCATCAAGGGACATTCTGGTAGAGTAAGATAAAACCTCAATGCTTCAACATCAGGTAAGGAGCTAGTCAGTTTAGGTATAAGATTCTTTTCCAAACTAGCTGCCACCTATATTTTGACAAAAAGCAAAACCTACTTCATTTAAAATGAATGCACTTCACACAGATGCATATACACACATTATACGCATTTAACAAGAAAAAAGAAAATCAAGCACTACAACATGAAAGACTAAAACAAAAAAGAAGACAACATATTTCAATGATATAGTCTGAAGCCAATGAAAACTACTGCCTAAGCATCGCTAAGAAATTTCAAAGAACCTTACTATACTATCAATTTAAACTCTCCACCACAGTGTCTACTATAGCTATTAACAGAGTTAACCAAAACAGTAATATTAAGTATTTAGAGTCTGCTACAAACATCTAAAAAAGATTAACATACCTTTAACATATAAATTACAAATGCTTTAAAATAAAAACCTTTAATTTAACATGAAATATAATGTAAGTCTATGAAATACAAGGATAATTCTTTTACAGACATATCTGTAGAAATAACATGTAAAACTGCAGCAACTAAAGTAGATGCACAATCATGTAAAAACGAACCTGCTGAGATATCTGAGGATGGTCAGGTTGTATTAGTTTGTGGAATAAGAGTCTAGCAGCATTCATATCAACCCCTGAAAATTTGGTACCTGTTCTATAGTGATCATCGTTGCTAAAAAAGAAAAAAGGGAGGGAGAGTCATTTTTAAGGTTGTAGCCACTTAGCTGTTCCCAGGCTGCAGTGAATAAACCCCCATCCGTGCTCATGCCAATGACTCTTAAACTCAGTGGACATCACACAAACGAAGGGCAGGAAAGTAGATGGGGAACTTTTTAGGAGGAAGAAGAGGTTGAAAGTAAGTGGGAAGGAGATGAGAGGGCAAACAAGGGGTTACAGCATCAAAGCACATTGTAAAAGCTATGAACTTTTAAAAATGAAAAACGTAACAATTGAAATAGTAATACTTTCATTTCTTCAATATAAAGATTGATTCAAGTACATATATTTATATTAATTACTCAATTCTTTAAAACATCACTAAATTTAATACATTTCAAATGTTCAGGCAATCAAGGACTTGCCACTTACCTAGTAGCCAAAAAACTTCCATTTAGGCAACCAGATGAAGAAAATGTTCCATCAATCTCACTAAAAATAAAATAAATGAGACACATAACTATTTGCCTTTTGTTTTTAATAAAAATTTAAATGACAATTTAGACCTAGGTATTGTGGCACATGGTTAGAATCTAGTCATTTGGGAAGCTAAGGCAAGAGAATCTACAGCTTGACGCCACCTGAGGCTACAAAATTAAGACCGCCCTATTAAAAAAGAGAGAGAGGGAAAAAAAAGATGGAGCCAGAAATGAGGAATAACTTAGTAATTGCTTTCTATGTCAGCTATAGGACCCAAGCTTGGTCCTCTAGAACCTATTTTTGGCAGCATGTGCTTTTTAATACCAGAGCTGGGGAGGCAGAAAAAGAAGATTCCCTAAGCCCACCAGCCACCTAGTCTAGCCTAATCATAGCAACTTCAAGGTTCAGTCAAGGACTTGGTCTCAAAACAAAATAAGGGAGAACAACTCAGAAAGATTTTTCAGTATTAACCTATGGCCTCCATATATACTCCAAAAGGTATCAACACACATACACATGAACACTGCACACACATATTTAATGCTACAGAGTACTTCTCTCACCACTCAACTGAAATAATCAGAATTACATAAATCACTGAAGATAGATTACATAATACTCAATAAAGAAATTAACGGTTTTTGTTTGACTTAAGCTTAAATGCATTTATCTTCAGCAACCACAGAGATGGCTCAGTTGGTCTGCCGCACCAGCACAAAGACGTTACTTCTTATTCCCTGGAACACACATAAAGAAGCTAGGTGTGACATTTGTCTGTAACTTCAGTGGTAGTAGAAGGATGGAGACAAACGGATCCCAAAGCTGACTGAACACCCAGCCTATAAGCACAAGATCAGGTCTAAAAAACAAAAGCAGTGAGTGATGGAAAGAGGATGCAACACAGGCCCACCACGTTCACATGCAAACAAGTGAATGCACATCTGCAGACATCTGTGCACACACCCACACACAAAAGATTAAATTCTAGGAAATAGAAACTTTCATCCTATCTATTCACCTATCTAGCACAAGGTCTCACTATGTAGCCTTGGCTGGCCTGGAATCTGCTATGCAGACCAGGCTGGCTCTGAACTCACAGAAATATCACCTGCCTTTGACTCCCAAGTACTGGGATTACAGGCATGCACCACCATTCCTGGCCCAATCTTCAAATCATTTTTATGGACATGGAAGAGAACTCACTTTTCCAAGTCAGTCTCTGACTACCACTCATGTACAACAGCATGTGTGCACCCACACACATAGAAGCAAAATAAATAGTAATTTAAAAAACAAAACAAAAGGGAACATTAGGAAATAAAGGAGCATAGTTTAAATGGAATAAACAGCTATTTCACACTGTATATAGGAACTGAAGCTTTTTAGAGACAGCTCTGGCTCTCCAGGAACCAGCTCTGTAGACCAGGCTGGTCTTGAACGCAGAGAGATCTGCCTGCCTCTGCCTCCCTAGTGCTGGGATTAAAAGGTGTGTGCCGCCACCCAGCATAACCAAAACTTTTACATGAGATGTTAAAAATACCCACTATGGAAACTTTTTTTTTGGGGGGGGGGGCATCCAGACAGGGTTTCTCTGTGTAGCTTTGAGGCCTGTCCTGGAACTTGCTCTGGAGACCAGGCTGGCCTTGAGTTCACAAAGATTCTCCTGCCTCAGCCTCCCAAGGGCTGAGATTAAGGCGTGCGCTACCACCATCCAGCTAATACTTAAAAGTTTTATATACAAACCATGCAGAGTACGACAGCAAATGAAATATTTAAATGAAAAATCTCAGGGTTCGGGTGCAGCAAAGGGACAGGGAGATGAATGGGATCAAGACATATGATGTAAATGACACAAAAAAATAAAGAAAATTCCCCACAAAGGCTGCTCTCCCACACAGGTTTGGGGCTGTGTGAGTACAATGACTCCCCATACTTGGCTATCTCCACAGGAAACCTTCCAGAAGGGTAGCTGAGCCATTTCTGAATCAGAGCTTCATTCACTGTCCAGATCTGCTTTGAAGGGTCAGGGCATCTGAAATCATCTGCTGGGCCACAGCTCTATGATACAATTAAAGAGATGAGTTGGAGGAAGAGATGTCACAACACAAAAGTAAGAACCAATATTTTTGTTTGATAATTTTTGTTAAAAATATGTCAATTTTCTCCAAAATACCAAAACAAAAAACTTAGCAGATAGCTTAGGGGAAAAAAATTCTTTTGTAGATTTGAGGAAAAAAACTAAGACATTCTGTAACTTACAAAAGACATTCAAGGTATGTATGTTTCTAAAATTACTCCAACTTATTTAAAGCTAACAAATTATTTATAATGATTAAATTAGTACCTGAGGATTAGAGTAATGTGAAAAGCTTTGATCTCCACCTGAGAAAATTCTTTTGACACAGAAACAGTCTTCAGAATCTACAACAAAAATAAAATGTAAAACATTAGATTCCAAGACTTACATTTTCCAGAACATTAAATTTATAATTGAACTTGTTTTGATCATCTAATTAGGCTTTTCATTCATTCCAGGGGACTCTACAACATGAAATGGCTTGGAATGGTCTGCTTACTTGGGATGCGACTGACCAAGTGATGAGCAGGAAATGACTCCACAAGCCTAACTAAGCACGATTTGACAAATTGCTAAGATTTTCTTCTGACCTATATCCATGCAAAAAACTGTTTTCTAGTATCTCACATTTTGGTTTAAATATAATATAAAACTGGAATAATTGTTATAAAAGATAGGTTAGAGGAAAATAAAATTAAAGGGGGCACATTTGAAATTTCAGCATTTGATAGGCAGAAGGAGAACTGCAAAATTTGAGACCAGCCTGGGTTACATATCAAGACTATACCTTAAAACAAACAGCAAACAGAAAAAAAAATTCATTTTTGAAAAGAACATGGGAAATTTTAAATAATTTTGAGTAAATACTTCATAATGCATAATTATGTCCATCTACTGGCCATTAGAACAGTGGTTTCTCAAACTGTGGGTTGAGACCCACTGGAGGATTGAATGACCTAAGACCATTGAAAAACACAGATATTTACATCACAATTCTGAACAGTAGTAAAATTATAGTTATGAAGTAACAATAAAGATAATGTTATGGTTGGGGTCACCACAACATGAGGAACTGTATTAAAGGGTCTCAGCATTATGAAGGTTGAGAACCAAAGCTCTAAAAGATGACACAGAGACTTGTCAAAAAAACTAAGCAAGGGCTGAGGAGACAGCTCAGCAGTTAAAGTGCTAGCTTTGCAAGTGTGATGACCAAGTTTGCGTTCCTGGAACCTTTGTTTAAAAGAAACCCAGATGTTACCAAGTATGGCACATGCCTTTGATCCCAGCACTCAGTAGGTAAAGGCAGGAGAATCTCTTTAAGTTTGAGGGCAGCCTAGTCTAAAGAGTGAGATCCAGGAGAGATAGGGTTACACAGAGAAACCCTGTTACAAAAAAAAGGGGAGGAAGGGAGGGAAGGAGAGGAGAGGGAGGGAGGGAGAGAGGGGGGGGGGGGGAGGAAAAGAGAGGAAAAAGAGGAGGAGAGAGAGAGAGAGAGAGAGAGAGAGAGAGAGAGAGAGAGCCAGGACCACACACATACACAAATACTATCTTGAAAAACCAAAAGAAAAAGACCAAAACACACACACACACACACACACACACACACACACACACACACACACACACACCACACAGATGCAGTGGCTCGTATTTGTAATCCCAGCACTCCTACATAGAAATAGAAAGTGGAAACAGAAAAATCACCAGAAGCTTTCAAACAGAGAAAAATTGATTTTTTTGGAGGTCCTCTGACCTCCATACCAGATGTCTCTATAGAAATAAACAAGTACATTAAACTTCCTCTGGAAAAAGATGCTTAAGTCCTCCTTTCTCTTTTCTTCTGTTCTTCCAAATAAAAATTGCAAGGGTTGCATTCTGAAGAATTTCGTGCACGTGTGCACACGCACGTACGCACACCAAAAAACCGAAAATATCCTGTTTTAATTAAAGTCTAGCTATTTACAAATCTGCAACATATCTTTTGTCTTCTTCCTGAGTCTCATGTAAGACAGGCTGGCCTCAAACTTGTTCATAGGCAAGAATGAATTTCTATTGTTTTGCCTCCACTGTAGTTACTGGTGTGTGTAGGTATGCTTGGTTTGGCTGTGTGTGTGTGTGTGTGTGTGTGTGTGTGTGTTTAACCTTGTGTGTGTGTGTGTGTGTGTGTGTGTGTGTGTTTAACCTTGTATTACTACCCACGCTGCTACAGAAATATAAGCTTTATTCAAGGAAAGGAAAATTGTCCTAATTTCCTTGATTATTCCCTTGCAACTAGTAAAACATTTGTTTAAAAAAATATCCTTAGTAAAAAAAAAATCAACTATATAAAATACAATTTAAAATATTTCTATTTTAATTTGTGTGTGTGTGTATGTGTGTCTGTAAAGACCAGAAGAAAGCCATCAGGCATCTTGGAGCTGGAGTTATAGGGAGATAGACATGATGGGTGCTGGAAACCGAACTTGGTTTGTCCGGAAGAGCACCAAGTGCTTTTAATTGCTGAGCCATCTCTCTAACCACAGAAAGACAAATTTCATCCTGCTCAGACTACACTGATTGTAAGACTTCAGAAAAGATTTCCCAAAAGTCACAAAATGGAACTCAATAGCAGACCCCTTCTTAGCTAGCACTGGCAGGGCCCTGGGTTTAATCTTCCAAGAGAAAACAAATTCCATCCCAGAACTTGGGATGCAAGGACAGGCAGATGGATCTAGGAGTTGAGCCTGATCTAAATAGTGAGATCCAGGCCGGCTAGGGCCACATAGTGAGACCTTTTCTTAACAAATTCAGAAGGACAGAAAGTGGAGGGATAAATTCAATTGTATATCATCTCGTGTTTTTCATCCATTCACCTGTTGTCAGACAACTGAGTTACTCCTGACTTTTGGCAACAGTGCATTAGCAATCTGGGAGGGGTGACAATACTGGAAATTAAGCTTTTATAGGCAAGTGCTATATGCTGCATGTCAAAACCAGCTCAGGTTTGGCAGTCACTATGGAGCCCAGAGTGGGCTATAGACTTGTGCCACCACATCTGGCAACAATGAAACTAAGAAGAATAACAATAAAAACAAAAACAAAGCAAAGCAAAACTCCTTTTACCACTTCAATGCAAAAAAGTCTTTAAGAGCTATGGTTTCTAAGGTGACAAAATTCATAAACAGAAATGCATAACTTTTTTTTTTTTCAAGAGGTTTTGTCTGTGTAATAGCCCTGGTTGGCCTTGAACTCACCAAGATTCACCTGCCTCTGCCTCTCAAGGCCTGCACTACCACTACCTGGCAGAAATGCCCAACTCCTGACAGCATCCATACTGTTTAAAATCACAAAATGTCTTTACTGAACTATCAGCAATGCATTCTACGGAAGAAACTGAAATGCTAATTATAAGACAAACAGTAGCTAACATTAAAAAAAAGCAAACAAACAAACAAACAAAAAACGAAAAAGAAACCTATTCTCTAAATTGAATAGTATATGAATGATGATAAATGCCCATAAATTCTGGCTGTCCTAAAACTCACTATGTAGACTAGGCTAGCCTCAAATTATAGAGAGCCACCTACCTCTGCCTGCAAAATGCTGGGATTAAGGAAGCATGTGCCACTACTGCTAGGCAGCATAATTCTAATTTTGTAAAAATAGAAAGCCAGGCAGTGGTGATACACACCTTTAATCTCAACACTCAGAGGAGGCAGAGGCAGGTGGATCTGAGTTAGAAGCCAGCTTGGTTTACAGAATAAGCTCCAGGACACCGGGGCTATACAGAGAAACCCTGTTACTCCCACCCCCAGCCAAAAAGAAATAAAAGAAAAATAATTTAAAACTCCTATATATACCTAACAGATTGACAGAAGGCTCTCAAACAGGTATGTGCACAGGCATGATTAGAACTGGAGACAAATGGAGGCCGCAACCCAATTATTCAGATAGCTGAAACATGGTCTATATATACACAATGGAACATATCTCACAGGTTAAAGGGAAGGAGGAGGGTGCAGGAGAGATGGTTCAGCAGTCAAGAGCAGTGGCTGATCTTCCAAGGAAAATGGGTTCAGTGGCCTATACCCACATGGCAGCTCACAACTATCTCTAACTCAGGTTGGGGGTGGGGGGACCCGATGCCCCCATGAACACTGTACATATGGTGCACAGACACATGCAGATGCAGACACACAGAGTAAATTCTGTCATGTGGTACAACATGGATGAACCTCGAGGACAGAAAGCCAGTCACACAATGTACCCAGAATCAAGTCAACTTCAGAGACAGAACAGTAGAACTGAGATGTTCAGAGCCTGGTGGAAGAGGGAACAAGATATCGAAGACTTGCTTACATGGCTATACAGTTTTAGTTTTGCAAAATGAAAAAGAAGCCTGTAGAATGGCTATAAAACAATGTGATCATACAAACAATTTAAAAATAGTAAAATTAGTAAATTTTGTATTATGTACTTAATACAAATCAAACAACCTCCCCTTTTCACTAGCATCCTAGTTTCTGTATGACCCACTCCCCAAAAGACATTTTATTATTTTATTCAGAATTTTTCTGCATATACAGATGTAAACACATACACAACATAAACACAGATATGTTGGGGATATTTGTAAAGATATTTGTGATTGGTGTGATAAACAGCTGGACAGCCAACAGCCAAGGTATAGGTGGGATCTCCTGGGAGAGAAAGGAAAAGGAGATTCTAGGCAAACAGGATACACCAGGAAACTCATAGAGGAAACAGGAAGTGCAAGACAGAAGAGAGGTAATGCCATGGGATGGTAGATAAATATAAATGGGTTCATTAACTTGTAAGAGCTAGTTGGGAACAAACCTAAGCTGAAGGCAGAACTTTCATAACTAATAAAGTCGTTGTGTCATTATTTGGGAGCTGGCTGACAGGACAGAAAAAGATTCCTTTCACATGCATTTTGCCATGAGCCCAGGCTGGACTAAACTCAATGTTCCTATTACTACCATACTTACAATTCAATATTTTATCTTGGAGTTCTTATAAATACAGAAGCCTTCATCACAAAAGAGCAACATTTTATTAAGAACTTTAATATATGTACCAGAGGTTTAAATACATTAGCACTTACCAATATCTTGTGGACACTGCCCATTATAAGAAAACCAATTTCCTTTTACAGTGAAAGGACTTTTTCTGTTGCTTGTTGAACCAGTTCCCAACTGCCCATTACCACCAAGACCAAAGGAGTAAATTCGTCCTGAAGAAGGAACAAATGCAGAGGTATGCTGCCTAGAATAAAATGATAGAAAACCTCTGACTTAAGGTTAAAATCTAAACAATATACTTAGAAAAATAAAAACCAGCTAACATAATCCTTTTATTAAAAAAATAAATGGGGTGGGAAGATGGCTCAGTGCGCTTGAGTGTTTGCTCTGCAAGCATGGGGAACTGATTTGAATACCCACTATCATGTAAACAGCCAGGCATGAATAGTTGTGTGTGCTTGTAAACTCAGAATATGGAGGTGGTCCTAAGAACTTACTGACCAGCCAGTTTTGCTAAAATAGTAAACTTCCAGCTCACTGAGAATCCCTGACTCAGAGCAATGAAACAGGGAGTAACAGAGATGGACACTCAATGCTCTGTTCTGGCCTCAGACTATGCACCCCGCACACAATTAATAAAAATCACAAATCATTTCAACAGATATACAAGGAACAACATTAATAACTAGGAATGGGGCTGGGATGTACATCAATGGCAGAGCACTTGCCTAACATGGATAAGACCCTGGAATCAATGCCTACCACTAAAAAACAAACATAGAAAATAAAAAACAGAAATAAAAATGTTTAATCTGATAAAGATTACCTACAAAAATAGCTAGGCATAGTGGTGCACAACTTTGATCCCAACACTTGGGAGGCAGAGACAAGTGGATCTCTGTGAGTTTGAGACCAGCCTGGTCTACATAAAGAGTCTAGGACAACCAGAGTCACACAAAGAAACCAGAGCTACATCAAGAAACTATCTCAAAAACAAACACACACTTATAAAACTTTTATGGCAGATGTAATAATTGTGAAATACTGAGTTTTCCCACAAAGAACTAGAACATGTCTTTCTTTTTTTTGGGGGGGAGAGGATATCAAGACCGGGTTTATCTGTGGAACAGCCCTAGCTGTCCTGGATGTCTTGACCATCAGTACTTTAATGAACATTATTCTAGCATACCAACCAATAATACATTAAAACAAGACAACTATATAAATGATATGCATAACTAACAGAAATAAAACCACAGATGTCTGTGTACATTAATAAGTTATTAATAAAAGATTAACAAGGCAGCATTTTAAAATAGCAATATAAATGTGTAATTTATAGCAACACTGTCACAACAAAGCAAGTTGTTTCCAAAAATGGAACTAGATAAAAGATTCTGGGAAAATTGGTAAGTACTAAACAGTGGGAATCTGTTCTCACCTGGGTTAAGGGTTGCACTGGCAGAATCTGATATAATTATTATGTTTGTCTTAAAATAAAAAAATTGACAAATGTGATGGTGCACAACTTTAGTTCCAGCACTTGGGAGTCAGGGGCAGGCTGACTTTGAGTTCTAGGCTAGCCTGGTCTACATATAGAGTTCTAGGACAGCCAGGGCTACACTCTGCCTTAAAACAAAACAACTTTAAAAAGAATCTAATCAACTATGAGATAAGACTGACTGAGAAAGACAAGTTAAACTACTAAAACCAGAAATGAAAGTGGAAGGCTAGGCATGGTGGCACTTGTGTATTGTCAGCACTTAGGAGCAGAGGCAGCAGGATTTTAAGTTTTAGGACAGCCAGAGTTACATAGTGAGATCTTATCAAAACAGAAAGTCCCAAGTAAACGAAAGGATATACATTATGATTAAGTATGATTTATTTTTGTAATGCAAGGGTGGCCCAGAACACAAACTGATTACTATACAACCTAATTAAAGAAAAACAAATGACAAACCCCCAAAGACATGACCATCTGACTTGATGCAGAAAAGAAGTATCTACTGAACTTAAATAATAACTGACAAACTGAAAAGACAAACTAACATAATGAAGCCCTATAGAAAAAATTAACATAAACACATTCACTGGTAAAAAAAAAAAAAAAAGATTTTCTTAAGATCACAAACAAAGCAAGATGTCCTTTTTCTACTATTTTTATTCCACTCAGTCCTGCACGTCCTAGCCATACCAATTTGGCAAGAATAAGAAATAAAATGAATTCAAATTAGAAATGAAGAAGTTGTATCTATATGCAAATGTCATTGCTACAGATGTACGGCACCCTAAAATATCCGTCAAAAACCAAAATCAAAACCAAACCAACTAAACAAAAACCCTATTAGGAAAATTACTGAGCTGGGCAGTGGTGGAACACTCCTTTAGTCCCAGCACTCAGGAGGCAGAGATAGGTGATCTCTGTGAGTTCCAGACCAGCCTGGTCTACAAGAGCTAGTTCCAGGACAGCTGGAGCTGTCTCAAAAAAAAAAAAAAAAAAAAAAAGACAGCTCTGTTACTTTGACTCCTCAGTACCTAATCAGACACTGAGAAAAGTTTTACCTCAGACTATTAGAAACCTAAGACAAATGATTACCCAACTCTTTAAATAACATGACTTTTACTGGGTGGTAGTGGCACACACCTTTAATCCCAGTACTCAGGAGGCAGAGGCAGGAGGATCTCTGAGTTTGAGGCCAGCATGGGTTCTAGGACAGTCAGGACTACCCAGAGAAGCTCTGCCTTGAAAAATATGGGGGTGGGGAGGATGTGATTTTTCTTGGGGTGGAGTCCGGAGAGTAGGTTGTATGTTTAAAACAAGGACTCCCTAAGTTGCCTCCAAAGTGCTAGAATTACAAGTGTGTGCCGCATGCTTACCAGCTCAATAATCAGTCTATAGACCAAAGTTCTCTCCATATTCTTTACCACAGCTTACCTTCCACAAGCAACCTGAGTGACAATGCTTCCCATAAGTTCAAAAACTTTCCTTGGGTTTATTTCATGACTGGTAGAATTATGACCCAACTGGCCATACCCTCCAGCTCCAAAGGTAAACACTCCACCTTCCTGGAAAACAACAAACAAACAACTGAGTTATGAGGCAGCTCAACAAAAGAAAACAAACTAATGTTCAGAAATATGAGTTGACCTTTAATATGGACTCAACGTTTTTCTTTCCTGTCCTTGAAATTAAATAGATGGCTAGCTCAAGAAGATAAAAATGTCTTGAAACTAAGATAATTTGATGTGTGCTAGTAGGGACTAACTCTACAGTTCAGTGCATGTGAGGCAAGCATTCTATTATGCAGGCTAGATCCCCATACCTTTTTTACTTAAAACATTTTTAAAATGTATTATTAGTGTGGGTATGCATGCTGCACATGTGTGAACACATGTATTCAAAGGACAGCTCTATGGAGTTGGTTCTCTCTTTCCTCCTTTACTTGAGTTCTAGAGAATCAATTCAGGTTTCCAGGAATGCCTGCAAAGTATCTTTATCTGCTGATCTACCTCATCAGCCTTTCCCTGTTACTTTGAAATAGAATCTCACTGAGATGTCAGGATGGTCTTGAACTTGATCTTAGTTCAGGAAGGCCTTGAACTTTGCTTTAGCGTCTCAAGTAGTTGTGACTACAAGTTTGAACCACCAGGCAGGCTTTCACAGATTTTTACAGTACTAAATGATGCACACATAATGCTAAAACAATTTAAGTGTTTGTGGCAGAAGTAATTACTGCTGGGCACAGCAGTGCACAACTGCAATCTCAGCACTTGGGAAGAGGCTAAAAGACTGCCCAAGAGTTTGAAGAGCCAGGACTACTGAGACCCCTCATCCACCAAATAATAACTACCATTAAACCACCCAAAGAGCCAGGAAATACTTAATTGCATTGTTTTGCATATTATTATACTTCTTTTTAAATTCAAAGGACACATTTCTAACATTTCATAAAAATTTTAAAATGTTACTATCTTTAGTTAGCAAACCAGTGTGCCTTGAACATTAATGCTCTGCTTAAACTGAATGGGGGCAAAAAGATAATGAGTTCAAGGCCAGCCCAGGGGAAACAAGAAAATCCTGTCAAAAACAAAAGCAGACAAAAAGGCTCTACATAAAGAGTATATGTAAGCAGAATGCACAAATAAGATTTTAAGTACACACAGCTGCTATAAGAGATAATCTTTAAATTTTTTTGTTAGTAATGTATTTATGAGTCAATCAGAGACTATGCTTTGTTTTTAATTTTTTTTTTTAAGACAGGGTTTCTCTGTGTAGCCCTGGCTATCCAGGAACTCCCTCTGCAGACCAGGCTGTCCTCAAACTCAGAGGCCTGTCTCTGTCTCCTGAGTGCTGGGAGCAAAACTGTAAACCACCACTGCCCAGCTGAGGCTACACACTTTAAAAAAGAAATACAACACATGAGAACCTAACACAACCACAGTATTTTTCAATTTGACACTTTTCATCATATCTGTAGTTATGTGTGTTACATGTTGCTTTCAACATCTAACGGCTTAATTTTTTAATATGTTATAGTATACAGATACACTTTAAGAAACTTTCCATATCAAATACAGAGTAGGGGGCTTGAGATACAGCTTAGCTAGCTGGTGAGTGCTTACTTAACATGCATGGCTTTGCCTTCCATCTCTAACACTGTATAACATGGGGTGTGATGACGCACACCTGTGATTCTAGCACCCAGAAGGTGGAAGCAGCAGAATCAGAAATTCAAAGTCATCCTCAGCTACATTTGGAATTCAAAGGGAACTTGTAACCCCAGGACCAAGGAGCCTGAGACTGATCACAAAGTTGAGGACAGTCTCAGTTTTATTAAGATTTTGTCTAAATGCAACAGTGGTGGCTCACCTCTCTAATTCCAGCACTCAGGAGGCAGAGGCAAGCAGATCTCTGTGAGTTTAAGGTCAGCCTGGTCTACTACATAGTGAGCAGCCAAGACCACACAGAAAAGCTCTGTCTCCAAAAAAAAAAAAAAAAAAAAAAATTCGTCTAAAACAATAAAACTATTTGAGTGAAAGAAAAAACAAAACACTGCAGAATTTTTTTCTTTTCCTTTTGTGGCCTTATGCAAACTAGTACATACTCTGCCCCTGAGCTCTATTTCCCAATCTAATGTAATTTTAATTTAATTGTTATGTGTTTGAGTGCTTTGCATTCGAGTGCAGGGCCCCACAAAGGGGGGTGGGCACGTGATCCCCTGACACTGAAATTATAGATGGTTGTGAGCTACCATGTAGGTGCCAGGAGCCAAACCTTCATCCTGTGGAAGAGAGGTAGATCGTTTTAACTGCTGAACCATCATCTTTCAGCCCCTAAATTTTCAAAGTATGAACTAGAAACCAATTTCTTTCTTCCTTTTTTTTTTTTTTTTTTTTTTTTGTGGTTTATCAAGAAAGGGTTTATCTGTGGCTTTGGAGCCTGCCCTGGAACTAGCTCTTGTAGACCAAGCTGGTCTCAAACTCACAGAGATCCGCCTGCCTCTGCCTTCCAAGTACTGGGATTAAAGCATGAGCCACCACCACCCGGCAGAAACAAATTTCATCCAGATATGGTGGCATATGTCTTTGACCCCAATGCTCAGAGAGGAGACATGGGCAAAAAGAACTCTGTGAATTTCAGGCCATGATCTACGTAAGTTCTGAGCCCAGCCAGAGCTACATAGTGAGACTCTTGAAGAAAGAAAGAAGGAAAGAAAAAAGTTAATGTCTTTTATCAATTATACAAGACAAAATAATAATAATGAAGCCAGGCGTGGTGGCACACACCTTTTGTTCCAGCACTTGGGAGGCAGAGTCAGGTATATTTATCTCTGCTGAGTTTGAGGCAGCCTGGTCTACAGACTGAGTTCCAGGACAACCAGGGATACACAGAGAAACCCTGTCTCAAAATAAATAAATAAATAAATAACCAGGAAAAAAACAACAAAAACAGAAACTATAAAGCCAAAGACAGCCTTTGATTTCTGGACTTTCTGCCTCCCTCTATCACCCACCACCCCACTCAGTTTAAGTGGTGCCTGGGATAGAACCCAGGTCCTCCTGTATGTCAGGCAAGCATTCTACCAACTACTACATCCCTAGACCTTCTGAAACACCAATTTGGACAATGAATTTCCCAGACTCTTTATGCTAATATGAATGAACACAACAATATTTTTCCAGTAAAAATTAGCTGTGCTTTGCTTTGTTTTTGTATTGCTGAAAATCAAATTTAGGTACCTAAGTAAGTTTTTATTGAGCTACACCCACTGTCCAAATGTGTTCATTTTCATTTGACATCCAGTCACTATAGAAATACCCCAGAAAATGAAAGATAAATGTTAAAGCAACTGACTAAAAACACACTGTAATTGCTAGTATGGTACTCAGCCTATGGATTAACAGAAATCTAGCTGCTTCTTTGTTATAAAACATTTATAAAACAAATGCAAGTTTAATGCAAATTGAGCAGAATGATAAAGTACAAATGGGACTAATACATTAGCACTGCAAGCTTGATGAACCAAAATGAAGTCATTTCATTCAAAAATTTTATTAATCCCAGCTACTCAGGAGGCTAATAGTATTAAAAACCTAAGGTCAACCTGAGCAATTTGGCAAGCTTCTATCTCAATACAAAAAAGGGCTGGAGATGTGGCTCAGTGGTAAAGACATGACCTAGTATATACAAGGTCTTGGGTTTTAATTTCTATAATCAACACCACAAAGATCTCCCCAAAAAGTGCTAGGCATGGTACTGAATTATGCAATCCCAGCCCTGGGAGATTAAGAAAGGGGAGTGTCTACAGTTTAAGGTGAGTTTGGGCTACATAATCATTTTAACACTGCTGCAATCACAAGTTGACAATGCATCAAAAACGCACAGTTCATAACCCTAAACAAAACTGAACATGAAGACAAGCTATTTTCAAGAATAATTTTAGTTCCTTTTTTTTTTTAAGATAAATTGTTTCAGAAAGACAAACACTGTTCAAGTTTAATGGAAATACCATGAAAGCATTCACTAATTATGAAAAATTACTGTGAACAATAAAAAGTTTTATAAATACAATACCTTGGTTAATGCAGCAGTATGATCTTCTCCGCAACAAATATAAACTATTTTCTGAGATCTTAGTGACTTTAGTAAATTAGGAACATACCTATCTGAAAATTCCAATAAAAGACGTTAATGATAATTTTAAACTAATATTCTTCTAAAATGTGCTTGCTCTATAGATTTCCAAACTCAGTAGACATAATACTAACTTTTACTATCAATCAATGACTTTGTAAGAAAAAAGCCTATAAAACTGGATTTCCATGGCTACCAATCTCTACTCCTAAAATAAAGGATTCAAAGATGAGCGATAAATCACCCTTATGCCAATGTGCACAGGGCTGAGCAATCCAGCTCAGTGTTTCAGATTTTCTACATATGTGTCATTATTTACTCTGCAATGGCTATGCTCAGAGATCCAACTCAACAGCCTGTCCTACTTCTGTTTTTTGTGGCAGAACATAACACAGCATAGTATGAACATATTTTTATGCAGAATAAAATTATCTAATTCTATGAGAGAATTATTTACTTATTATCACTTATTAGGTTAAAAACTCACTTTGACCATCTCAGTCATTAAAAGTACGTTGAACTTTACAAACTGTGATCGGTATGCCAAATATTAGTATTCAAAATACTGACAGGAATGAAATGTGCGATAAAAGATTGTAACTTTTAAAAAGTCATTTTTTAAAATTCAAAATGTTTATTTTTAAGACTATCATCAGTGTAAAAAGAAGCTCAACCAAAAATTAATCTAACAACTCCAGACCATATAAATCCCACTTGAAACATCATGTTACTTTCCTGGAGCAAAATTTTTTTCTGTATCAATCTGAGCCATTGGATACATGTTCTACCAGGAAGCTCTATGTGCAGCTTCTTCACTAATTTTATAACTTTTTTCCATTAATGGTGGCCAATACTGGAACAACACTGGCTATCAAATTAAAGCATTATTTGTAAGCTGACACACAATAATGTAGATTTAGGCAGCATAAACTTTTCCCTTTCTTTCAGTACTGGGTATTAACACCAAAGCCTGTGTGGTAGGCAAGCATTCTACCATGGAGCTATCTATAACCACAGTACAAAGGATCTAAAGAATATTTTTCTTCTTTTGGGGTTGTGTGTGTGCGTGCGTGCGTGCGCGCGTGTGCATGTGTGTGTGTAAGGTGTTGGAGATTGAATCCAGGGGCCTTGTGCATACTAGGCAAGAACTTTTCCACTGAGCTATATCTCCAGGCTTCAATAAACTTCCCAATTATTATATGCTAATTTTTAGCCTCCCCAAGATCTTCTCAAAACATCTCCACATTAAAATTTTAAATTAACATCCTCAGCTCCACCTCTATCAGTCCTGGGAAGATTAGGGTATACATTTCTCCAATACTGAGAATACTCATTCATCTAGAAGATCTTTTAAAAAAATACACTTGAACTATTATGAGACCTACCATTTTCATCATTAAGACCTAGCTGACCAAATTTGTTACGTCCCCATCCAAAGATAGCCCCAGAGAGGGTGAGTACAAAACTATGAGCTCCTCCTGCTGCAACTTGCATGAATGGAATTCCAAGTAAAGACTTAATCAGCTGTGGTGAAGTCTGCTTTTTACAGTCAATGCCTAGACCCAGTTGGCCATATTTATTCTGTCCCCAACAGAAAACTTCGCTTGCTGTAAGACAAAAATCATAAAATTATTTTACACACACACATAATACCATTTGTAGATCCACTACTCTGAGACATCTCATTAGATGGAAATAAATACTAACAATGACATGTCTCATTATATAAAAATATACTACCTAGAAGTACCAGTACACTTTTAAATTTCAGCAAAACACTAGGAAATTTGATGTAGAACAAAACTGAGTGTATTCCTAGTTTGTATCACAATAGACACCATTAGGCATTTACTAAAGTAGTAAGTAACAGAGGCACCATAACTTATTTTTTGAGATAGCCTAAGTTGACGTGGAACTTGTAGAAATCTGCTTCAGCTTCCCAATGTGCTGAGATTATAGGTATGTACCACCATGAGCTGAATTTACCACTGTACTTTTATTCATGTGTATGTGTCTCCATGCGTGTGCATGCCCAGAGTCCAAAAGGTGTTAGTTAGATCCTTGGGAGCTGGAGTTACAGAGCTACCTGATGTGGATGCTGGGAATTAAACTCAGGTCCTCTGGAGAAGCCATGTCTCCGGTTCACATTTATCTTTTTTTTTTTTTTTAAAGATTTTATTTATTATGTATACAACATTCTGCTTCCATGTGTATCTGCACACCAAAAGAGGTCACTAGATCTCGTAACAGATGGTTGTGAGCCACCATGTGGTTGCTGGGAATTGAACTCAGGACCTCTGGAAGAGCAGTCGGTGCTCTTAACCTCTGAGCCATCTCTCCAGCCCTCACATTTATCTTTTTAAGCTGTAATAAAAACCATGGATGAGCCAGATGTTGGTGGCGCACGCCTTTAATCCCAGCACTCGGGAGGCAGAGGCAGGTGATCTCTGTGAGTTTGAGGCCAGCCTGGTCTCCAGAGTGAGTGCCAGGACAGGGTCAAAGCTACACAGAGAAATGCTGTCTTGAAAACCCAAACAAAAAAAAAGAAAAGGGCAAATACTTACCTTTAGAAAGTGCAAGTGAATGATAGTAACCACATGCAACTTGTACTATTTGGATATCCGAAAGACTTTTAATATTTCTAGAAAAGAAGGAGAGCAGAATCAGTTCCCTGTGTGTAACAAGTGGATCTCGTATGCTACTTATGTGCTGTTCATTGGCCACTTACTATGCGAAAAATTGTCCTTTCAAGGTGCACTATCATTTTTAGTCCTGCTAATAACCAAAACTTCAGATTAAAACCAGGAATCAGAATGTAAGCATTAAGAAAATAAATAAAAGATGGCTGGAGAAAACACTTTAAAATAAAAGGCAAAACATCGGGTTGGGGATTTAGGTCAGTGGTAGAGCACCTACCTAGCAAGCACAAGCCCAGGCCTCGGTGTTTTTTTTTTTTTTTTTTTTTTTTTTTGGGGGGGGTGCAAAAACAAAACAAGAAACCCAAAAGAACAAAAGCAAAGTACACCGTGCTTACAAATAAATACCCTTCAGGATACTCTATCATTCAAATATTTTCTTCCATTATCCAATACTTCTCTTAATTTTTACAGAGTGAAACTTGGCAGTTTATTTCAAAATGCAAATTATTCTAAAACTGGTGCTCTCCTAACTCAGAACTGTGGACCCTATCCCCTCCCCGATAGCCTACCCTTCTAAATTTATACCTACAGCATTTGCATCTGAGTTTTAACTAGGAAAATTGAGTCCATTCACATTTATGATAATCAATGATGTTCTTTGCTATCTTGTATTCTGTCTTCATGCTCCTAAACTTGCCTAAGTGCAATGCATTGTACTTCCCTTTGACCTAATCAATCTTCTACTACTTTTCTGAATCAATGTATTCAAGAAAAAGGAAGATTTTTTTTTATTTGCCTTTATCTAATGCTGCGACCTGACCGATTTTGCCAATTCAAAGTCAGGAGCAACTTATGAACAGAGTTTTGATACTTATGGTTTTCAGGTGGCAGCTTCAGTTAATCAAGTTGTGAGCAGGAAAAAAGATGAGTAACTTGAACTCCATATTGTACATTAACTGCTTCTATTTAGTGAATATATGTTCTTCTTTTTAATTCATTTTTATTTCATGTGCACTTGTGCTTTGCCTGCATGTATGTTTGAAGGTGTCAGATCTCCTGGAACTGGAGTTACAAATAGTTGTGAGCTGCCATGTGGGTGCTGGAGATTGAACCTGGGTCCTCTGGAAGAGCCACAAGTGCTCCTAACCACTAAGCCATCTCTCCAGCCCCCTGGATATATGTTTTAACTACAGAACCTGAGAGCTGTGCTAATTCAAATCAGCAGGTTCCAATGCATCTTCAGTTTTTAAAATCATGATGGAATGCCATAGCAAAATAAATGCAAAAGAGTTAGAAACAAAAATACATGGATATGTACAATTGTGCTGAAGTTAGTATTAACTGCTACTGTGTATGGATACCACCCATATCATACATTGATTCCCCATATAATATTTTTTGGGGGGGGGGGGGGGGGGGGAGGATTAATTTCAATTTACAAGGTCAAGTTTTTCAAAATACTGCATTCTCTCAGAAGCCTATGTTTTCCTGTCTTCATACATTTGTCACTAATACATATTCATTTAATGTTTGTCTCCTGTGCTAAACAATATATTGTGTAAAGGTGGAATACATCTTACATCCATGAGAATCTCAATGCCTAACACAGTGCTGGACAAACACTACTTAATTGAATTGAATATACCATTTTAAAAGGTCTATAGAGTGAGTTTGAAGCCAGCTAGCTAGAGGTACACAATGAGATGCTGTAAAATTAAACAACAACAAAAAACAACCACCTTAACTGACAACACACTAAATTTTCCAATTAAAAGTCCGGTGGTGTGGCTCAAGCCTTTAGAGGGTGGTGGATCTCTTCGAGTTCAAGGTCAGCCTGGTCTACACAGAGAATCCCTGTAGGGGGGAAGTGAAGGGGGAGGGCACGAAGAACAAAAGAAATAAAAACAAAAGAACAAACTGAGCTGGACCTTTAATGGAGGTGGAGAATTCCTTTAATCTCTAGGAAAGAAGTTGGATCTCTGAGTTCTAGGCCAGTTTGGACTACATGGTTCCAGGACAGTCAGGGCTATGTAAACAAAAAAAGATGAGTAACTGAGTGAATTGCAAAATCCAAACGCATATAGCTGCTACATCTTTGTGATCTGTTTGAGAGGTCAAGCTAGCCTGATAATGACAATTCCTCTTGCTCAGCCTTTTCACTGCTGGGACTGAAGATACGGACCCACCAGAACCAGATCATATAAGCTGCTTCTAAGAAACTCTAAGGACACATAAACATAAGGTGAAGCAATGGAAGAAGGTACTCCATGCAAACAGAATTATAAGCAAACAGTAGTCATAATTCTGTCAGATAAAATGGACTTTAAATCAAAAGTATTTTAAACAAACAAAAAGTGAGCATTATATAATAAATGGGTCAACTCAGCAAACAATAATTCTCAATATATGGCACAGAATATTAGAGCAACTAAATATGTAAATATTCTAGATATTCCAGACCTAAAGTGAGAGATCAATTCCAACACAGTAACAGAGGACATTAATGGCCCATTTTCTGTAGTTAAAAATCAAAGAATCAGCAGTTAAAACACCAAATGGGCCTAAAAGACCACTACAGAACCTTCTACACAACAGCACATGATATATCCTCCAGGGTAAATAAACTGTAATAGGCCACAAAACAAATCTCAGTAACATTTCCTACTTTTTTTTCTTCGTCTGATACAAAGTCTCACTTAATTCTGAGCTAGTTGTCCTCACTTGTTATGAATCTGAGGATGTCCTTCTAATCCCTCTGCCACAATTCCCTGATTATGCAAGCAATCTCTATCAAATGAGCTCCACCCCTAGTCCCTCAATAAAAATTTAAAAAACAAAATTGTATTATCTTTTCCAGTCACAATACAATAAAACTGAAAATCAGTAACAAGAAATGACTGGAAGACTATATTATAATACAGAAATTAAACAGCTTAGTTTTTCAAATAGCCAAATGAATCAAAGGAGAAAAAAGACAAAATTTAAAACTTCTTAAAAAAGGGGGAAATAAAGACATGACAGCAAATCTGTGGGCTACAGACAAAGTAGTACTGAGAAGTTTTTATCAATCAGCACCTATATTATAAAACAGAAAAATCTCAGACCCTCATTCTTATCTCAGAGATAAAGAAAAGCAAAATGACACCTTTAATTCCCACACCTGGGAGGCAGAGAGTAGTGGATCTCTGAGTTCTAGGCCAGTTTATACACGTCGAATTACAAGACAGCCAAGGCTAAAGGCTACACAGAGAAACCCTGCCTCAACCTCCCTCCCACCAAAGGAAAAAAAAAAAAAAAAAAAAGAAACCAAAGGGTACCCAACACTAATAGATGGAAAGAAAAATAAAGACCACAGCAGAAATAAAGAAACAGATTTTGAAAAACCTTTAAAAATTCTTCAATAGATGAAGATTGGTACCACCCCACTACACCAGACTCAGAAAGCAGTCTTGGGCCTGCTTGCTTATGCAGATGGCTCAGTACCAGAGCACTTGCTGCCAAGTCTGATGACCTGAGTTCAATTTCCTGGAACCCACATGATGGAGACACAACTACTTTCTGCAAGTTGTCCTCTGATTTCCACATATGCAAACTGTTGCACATGCACACCGACACGTGAACATACATACAAAATAAACAAATGCTACTCATTTTAAATAAAATCAGAGATGAAAGACACACATTGTAATTGATAGAGAAATATAGACTCATGAGAGATTATTAGACTCTCCACCAACAAACTCCAAAACCTATAAGAAACAAACCAATTCCTGAACATAAACACTTACAAAACTGAACCATGAAGAAACAGAAGACTCAACAGACCAGCAACAAGGAGTAAGACAGAATCAGTACTAATGTGTCTGTCAAAGAAAGCACGGGACCTGGTGATGGCTTCTCTGCTGAAGTGTGTATGTGTGTAACAAACAGCTGAAGAACTGATACTGATTCTCAAATTATTTCAAAACACAAGAGAAATAAATTTATCTGCTGATACTACTAACAAATAAGGACACAACATAAAAAAACTAGAGGCTGAAGAAACAGGTATAAAAGGAGTATATATCTACATAATCAAGATGCTATGTTAAAAGCCAGCAACTAAGGGGGCTGGAGATGACTCTGGTTAAGAGTGATTGCTGCTCTGGCAAGAGCACCCACATATCAGCTCACAGCCATCTGTTGCTCTCATTCATTCAGTGGTTCTCAACCTATGGGTCTTGACCCCTGGAGGTCTGGCAGAGGGGGCGGAGGGGGGACGGGCAGAGGGGGGGGGGGGGGGGGGGGGGGGGGGGGGGGGGGCAGAATTAGTTCTATAAAAAAGAGCTAACCACATACCTCAACCCCAATCAATAACAAGAGCCAACTTAATAAGTTGTTAATAGGTTCAAAGGGAAGAAATAACTAGGCAACAATACTTACATACTCACGGTAAGCAGGGTGCTCACTGTAAGCAAAATGATTAGATAAACAAATTAAGGACCTCTTTGTGGTCACCTTTGTTACCTGGGTACTCTGATATATTCCTCTGATCCTAGGAGGCCAAGCTGTCCATCAGAGTCGAGACCCCACGAATACACCTGGCCTTTGTCATTAAGAGCTAATGTATGAGCTTCTCCACATGAAACAGCTACGATATTTTGGGCATCCAGGGCAACAACCTGCTCTAACAGAACAAAAGTCAAGAAGAGAAACATTACATTCTAGTTTTGAACTTGAAATAAGAAATAAATATATTCAATTCTCATTGTCTATCAAAAGTAAGGAGACTCAAACATAAAATACAACCAGTTGTTTTGAAAAAATTAACACATATGTTCCATATACAATTCTCATTGTGATAACACCATACTCTATATTCAAAACCACCACTGAAAAGGAAGTCAGAATAACAATAACCTGGGCAATTGGAATTTTAGCAGTATAATTGTAATTTAGGTTTACTTTATCAAACAGACACTACAGTGTAGTATTCTTAATGAAATCAACTCAACTGGCAATTTACAGGTTTTTGTTGTTAGGTTTTTTGTTTTTGTTTTTTTAAAAAAGACAGAATCTCACTATTGCAGTCCAGTGTGGCCTGAACATGGACTCCTCCAGTCCCTGCTGCCCAGATGCTAGGATTATAGGCATGCACAGTCACTACAGGCTCAGATTTTAAAATATAAAATCATAGAGAACTAAAAAGTAGTATGTCCACTATAAATAGGTTTTAGTTTATGGAATTCTACTTTAGCATCAACAACTATAAACCCCCTCGTGTGGTTAAAATATGCTCAAGTTTTAAATCAAAAGTAGCCAGCCAGTGACACCCAAAGTTTCCCTTAAGATAGGCTGTGTTGGGGCTGCAGAGACAGCTCAGTGGAACTTGCCATTCTTACAGAGGACCTGGGTTCAGTTCCCAGCATTCACACATAGACTTGCAAACACCTGTTAACTCCAGTTCCAAGGGATCTATCTGATGCCCTGTTCTGGCCTCCAAAGGCACCTCAAATATACATAGTGCACATATAAACATTCAAGAAAAACACACATATATAAAAAAAATCTTTTTTAAAAATGCAATGTTTGTTAGTGTTTTATCAGTTTTTTTAAAGATTTTATTTATTTATTATGTATACAACATCCTGCTTCCATGTATATCTGCACACCAGCAGAGGGCACCAGGTCTCATTATGGATGGTTGTGAGCCACCATGTGGTTGCTGGGAATTGAACTTAGGACCTCTGGAAGAGCAGTCGGTGCTCTTAACCTCTGAGCCATCTCTCCAGCCCTATCAGTAAGTTTTTAACATGCCATTTGAATTAACTTTATAAGCTTAGTAAGAATGCTACAATTATTATCTTCAATACAACAGAAGCCTCATGATGAAAGAAATTAAAACTGTCAACCAGGGTTTCTTGGTATATTAATTTGTAAATAATGCTATTCAATAATGAAACTGACTACATCAAGGAAACTGACATTCCCACATGTAAAGCAACTAATATTATATCTGGATTAAGATCTTGCATTTTTGTAAAGTGGAAGGCTAGTGTTAGATAACCTCTAGGAATCTATATAACTACATTGATAAACTAAGCACTTACCTTAAAGTTTCTTGAGTTGATGTATACGTCAGGCATGTATACTTGTCCTTACTATGTAGATCAAGCTGGCTTAAGCCTGCAGCAATCCTCCCACATCTACCTCACAAGCTAGTATCACAAGTGTGCACAACTATGCCCATCAAGTTGATAACTCTTCAAGCAAGTGCCCAGTACACAGAAGTTTATTATACCAATCTCTCACTCTTTGTATTATCTTGTATGCATTTTAATAAAATTACAGAAACACACACACACACACACACACACACACACACACACACACACACACACACACACAGGATATAACATGACTTTTCTCTAAAAGAAAATCAAGAAAACTAAGAATCACTAGCTTATACAAATAATTCCATAAATCTTAATTACAAGGGGAATTGAAATCTGTTATCAATAACAGAAGCTCACTGGTAGTGGCATGCACCTTTAATCCCAGCACTCAGGAGGCAGAGGCAGGGAGATCTCTATGAGTTGGAGGTTAGCCTGGTCTACACAGAGACCCCCTGCCTTGAAAAACTAAAACAAAAATAAGTACATAAATAGCAGAGGCTCCCCCAAATAAGTCAGTTCTAAACAATTCTGAAAGAAGTAGTAAAAGAAAACAGATTATGGGAATGAGTTAAGACTCCCTGGTTCTTCAATTAACAAATTATGAGCACATAAATTGGATTCCAATAGCTATGAAATCAAAGGCATCAAAATCTAATGTGTAATATAAATATCTAATATAAAATATTACATTAGTATTAAAATATACTTTTTTTGTGCTCCAAGCGCTGAAAATACAAAAATAAGTTTAAGAAAGACATTGAAAATAAGGATTGTAATTAAAGATTAAGCTAAAGATATAAAAAAGATAACATGTGAAAAAAGAGATGTTTGTTTAGGCTTTAAATACATCAGGAAGGATTCTGGAAGACAGTGATACTTAAGTCATGAGCTTAGGAAAGCAAAGGAGGATCCATGTATCCATTAGGAAAATCAATCAAAAGTGAAAATGCTGATAGGGAAACATTATTTATGCCTCAGACAAGGAATAACTTTCTTCATTCATTCTTTCTTGAGGCAGGGTCTCTCTATACAGCTTAGAAGGACCTTAAACTCACAATCTTCCAACCTTGGTCTGCTGAGTACTGTGGGCAACACCAAGCCCATCCCAATTCTTAAAGACTTCCTAGGGAAAAGATCAGTAATGCAAAAGCTCGAGTAATAATGTGAATTTCATTCATAGAAAAACAAATAGCTTTTAATCATATCAAAGATGCTCAACTTTGGGGGGAGGGAGGCAAATTCAAACTATACTTCAAAAGAAATAAAACATTTTCATGCATGAACTAAGCTTCAACGCAAATATTATCTACTGTGCTGGAGGTATAGTTATGTCAAGGAATGTCAGACTGCCAATAAACTAACAAAACGGAGCACATGAGGCTATGCTTACATTAGATAAAACAGACCTGGAACCAAAACTTCTTAGGAGACTAAGATTGCCATTATTTAATGATAAAGGGTCAATTACCACAAAGCATAATGAATGTAATTATACATTCACCTAATACCAAAGCACCTAAATATAAAGCAAGCATTAAGGGACGTCAGTAAGAAAACATACTCAGAAGAAGTAGAGGCCTTGATCCCACCTTTCAGATAAAAAACTCACAAGGAAATACTGAACTGTAATCCAGATTAAATGGTGCTTATGTGTAATGCACATAGAACACTTTTGTTAAACCACAGTCTTAACAATTCAAAAAGACAGAAATCTTATCCGGTATAATTTCTGACTGACCTTGAGCAACATGAAACTAGAGATCATTAACAAGAGACAATTTTGATATATGGTCAAATACACCAGGTATGGTGAATGGCTTTAATCCTAGTACTTGGGAGGCAGAAGCAGGCAGATCTCTGTGAGTTGCAGGCCAGCCAGGTCTATAGAGCATATCTTAGGCCAGTCAAGGTTATGTAGGGAGACTCTTTTGCAGGGTGGGGGTGGGTAGTGGGTGGGGTGGGTTAAATCAATGTACTTCTGAACAACTAACAGGTCAAAGAAGATAGTAAAAGGAAAACTGATTATAAATCTTAAGACAGCAATAAAAATAACATATCAAGACAGACAGGAAACAGCACAGTGGCACACCAGAGGCTCAAACGGGAGGTTCTCAAAATCAACCAGCCTACCAAATCATAAGTCGATAGTCAGTGTTAAACATGCAAGTTTGAAATTTTACAATGGTATGAAAGCCATAGGTTAACATGTGGAAACTGCACTTGATGTTCTGCTCTTTTCCAGAGCTAGGGATTTGGCATGCTATCATATTCTTGTGATGCTGGGCAGTGACAGAGCTGCAGCTTCCAATTATATGATCAAAGAGTAAACAGAGACACACACGTACTTGCTATTAAATTATGATATCCAGCAGATAGCCTACATCAAACAGATTTTCAATTTAGAAAATGTACTCTTCATGCTACCAGGAGAAAAGTAATTAGTATCTCCCAGGTCAAAACTACTAAGAGGGATGAGGAGTTGTTTTGGAGAAAATAAAACAGACTAACTCATATCACAATCACTTCCACTTTTTAAACACTCCCTTCTTGTTCTCCACAACTGATTTTCTTCCTATTCATTATTTACTCATTCATTCATTCATTCATTCATTCATTCATTCATTCATTCATTTGTAGACAGTCTCTCTTTGCAGTCCTTGATGGCCTCAAATCCAGAGACCCTCCTGCTTCTGCTTCCTTGAGTTCTGAGATTAAGAGCTCTGATTTTCTTGACATGTAAATTTCTCCTCTACTTAATTGCCAAAATAATGACTGCTTATAATAAAAAAATAAATTCAGATTGGTGTGAATTTTTTTTTACATTTTATAGTCAGTTCATTATTTACAGATCAACTCATTAATTTTTTTTTTGTTTTTAAAGATTTGTTTACTTATTATGTATAGTGTTCTGCCTGCATGTATGTCTGCAAGCCAGAAGAGGGCACCAGATCTCATCACAGATGATTGTGAGCCACCATGTGGTTGCTGGGAATTGAACTCAAGACCTATGAAAGCGAGAGCAACCGGTGCTCTTAACCTCTGAGCCATCTCTCCAGCCCAAGTTCATCATTTTCAGTTCAGCAATGTTTAAAAGCCTGAATAAATAATACTAACTTGAGTATTTCTTTTTCAAAATATCAGGATACAACTATACCTTATAATTATTCATTAAATAATTCTTTAAAAAAATCATTGGCTACAGGCTTTCAAGATACCTCAATGTAAAGGGGCTTGCCTCTAAGAGACTGAATTCTCTCCATAGGACCACACAATGGGAAATGGTGAAACCCACCTACTGTAGCTTGCCCCTGATCCCCACATGCAAAGTACGGCACAAGTGTGCACTCATCTCCACCATACCAACAACGGTTTAAGTAAAAATAAATAAAAATAAAATCAATAGCCAACTTTAACTTCTGGCATTTCCATGCTTCCCATAAGAGAGGAAGCATTACTGTTTTCCTGTCCCATGCCATCTTTTGTATCTAAAGATAAAAGAATCAGGCTGGAG